AATTAATTACAGTTACAGTTTTTCTCTTTCAAAAAGTAATTAATTACCGTTACAAGTTATTGACTCTCAAAAGTAATTCATTACAGTTACAGTTACTGAAAAAGTAACTTTAAATTAGTTATAAGTTACTTTTGAGTTACTTTTTTTCATCGGAATTTTCACTAGTAGCACATCGATAAGGCTGCATTCAGAAACGTTACTCGACTGCCTTCGTGTATCGTTTTATCCTTATTTTTTCACCTAATATTAAACATAGATGATACACAGGGTCATCAAAGTAATGCAACCTGAGACAATTAAAAAAAATTTTCTTTTTTATTAGTTGTACGATTTTTTTCACCGAGTTATATTGAACGTTGAAGCAAAAATGATCATTTTTGCTTGATCGTTTAATAACTTGATGGAAAAAAATCGTACAACATTCAATAAAAAAGACAAATTAAAAGTAAAGATTCGCTCTTTCAACTGTTGCAAATCGCATTTTCGTGTAATTTTTACCTCACGTCATAGACTTTGTAAAATTTGTGAAAAATTTTTAGATTTGACGGATATCCATTTGTGTCCATTACAACTCCGTAAAGTATCAGTCAAATTAAAATTTCAATTACAGATTTCAAAAGTAAAGATTTCAACCTCTAAAATGCTTTTTTAATTTTTTGTCTACGATGATTTTTTACCGAGTTAAGATATTCTGAATATTGCCTAATTTTTAGCGTATTCAAAAGTGTTCCCTAGATTTTGTTGAGTAGTATATATTACTGTTACTAATTTGTGTTTAGCGGATGTTTATATATTAATAAAATACTTATCAATTCAGCCTTATGCTATGTTTATGCAGCTTATGTTATTTTGTGTGTAATGGGCTTTAATTTTTCCACATATATAGGTTGAAGAATACACAGTGAAGGGAGATAAGCAAAGACAAACAACAATTTTGCCAGAGCAGATATCTGATTGTCCAGACGAAGAATATGAAGTACTACTTCTAGATGAGATGTTTCCAGAAACTTCAAGAACTTCTAGCGGATTGCTTGGTAATAAAAAGACTTTATATGTCTGTGTATATAGACTTTTTTAATAGAAATTCATATTATTTTCTGTTATAGAGAAGAAAATAAAGATCCAACCTTCTGTCCAAGATAACATGAAATTATTTTATTTAAGCGATGACATTGAGAATTCGTGGGAACGAGAAATGAAATTTTCTCGTACATTACGAAAAATATATGAACAGGATTGCATATTAAGACGCATACAAACCAATTGCGAAAATATAGATAAGAAGTTAGATAAATTAGAAAATGATAGATTAAACATCGTTACCGAAAATGTCAATGTTAATTTATTTTTATTGACACTCCGTCAAGAATACATTATCTTAAAAGAATATGAAACAATGGAAAATGCATTGCATGACCAAGTTAAGTGTAGATCAGAAGAAGTCACAACAGTGAGACAAAAGGTTAGTCATAATGATTTTCGTGATACAAGAAATGTGTACAACATTCTGAACACTTTAACATTCTGAACATTAATTTAAACATTTTATAAAAATATTTGAACATTCTATAAAAATTTTTTTGCTTCGGAATATAAAACACATTGGGAAAATAAATCAAATTTTTCATAAATGATTAATGTTGGCTGTGTATGTAAAAATTATATAATTAATATTTTCAGATACAAACAGCATTCGATAAAGTTGACATTAAAACGAAGGAAATTACAGAATTACGTGTTCAGATTAAGGATTCTTTTATCAAATACATGCATAGAATAAATGATAACAAGTTCCGTAACTTTTTACGTAGAATATTGAAGAAGAAATATAAAGAAGCGAAAGAAGACGATGGTAATAAGAATATTTTAAGAGATATTCAATAAAAATGTTTCATACATAATCACATACAAGGTATTTCTAAACTCAGTACCAAAACTAATACAGCGGCTTTAGCATATAAAAACAAATAAAATATGTCTAATCAGGAGACGCGGTAGTGTCTCCGGCCATGTTCAAAAACTGAAAGACACTACAAGTCTCCTGATATATTAAAGTAATCTTTAAGATATCTTTAAGACGTCTTATGTCCACATTTTGAATTGCCAAATGAATATTGCCGTTTGATACACTTATTAAAACTTTATAAAATATATTAAGAGAAGGTATAAAGGCTAATAAGAGTAAGTTGATGAGAGAAACAAAATCACCCGTGAAGCGATTGGATGACACCGATTGCGAAGATATCTCGTTATTCTCTGCGTCTACAAAATAAAGAGATCCATGTCAAAGATTATGGTAAAATCGTCAATAATATGAAGTTAGATAAAATAAAAATTTTTGATGTCACACAATAATTATATAACGTCAGATATGTAATAAATAAGTAACACGTCATTCTGTCACACAACGAACAAAAATGTAATATAAAACCTTATAACTTTTGTGTATGAGACATTTTTCTCAAAAATGCTTTATTTATGAGGCATTAAATTGTATCCAGACTTTTGGCACACTTTATACAATATTAATAATTAAAGTGTATTAATGGTTATTTATTATTACTCTAGAAACTACTACAACTACCGAAACGGATTCAGAGGAAATGGATGGTGTCGATAATGGAGAATCCGAATTAATTTATTTCGATGAAAACGTATGTCCACCAGGATGTGATAAAACAATGTATGACTTGGCATTTTCGATAAGAGAAACACGATACGCGCGTGAACATCAAATTAGGGATGCGCAACGAGTTATAGAGATTCTTCATAAAGAGATTCAAATTTATACAAAGAAGTTAAAAATTTTAGAGAGTGCTTTGAAGAAAAATGAGGATGATTTAAATATGTTCATGGTATTATATATTTAAAGCATTAATTCATTAATAAGACAGTCCTTCAGTAAAAAATTCTCGTAACTTATATTCTTAAAAAATTTTACATTTTAAATTTATGAGGGATAAATATACCAATTAGGTGAGACATCCGCGATACCTTGACCTTGACCTTATTTCAAGAAGATTCATGTCAGACGCTCAAAGAGAGTTGTCGGAAACATTAAATATCGATGTAGCAAACGTTTAAAAGCAATGGAAATGATCCAGAAGGTAGGAAATTGGGTCCCACATGAATTGAGAGAGAGAGACATTGCGAAACGTTCAGCCATTTGTGAATTGCTGAAATAAGCACGAAGTTTTTTTT